GCCTAGGGTCCGGCTCTGCATCTGTCTGTTTGTTTGTTTGTTCTGGAGTTGTGGGAACTTCCAGTCTGCAGGAGGCCCTGGTGCCCGGTGGGGGGCAGGGGGTGCTGTCACCCAGGCCTAGCTGACAGCCCCATCCGGCCTGGCTATCCCTCTCACCAGGTCCCCACTCGTTCCCTCCTGGAAGACAGCACCCACAGTGAGGGGGTGAAGCTACGCCCTGGGCAGATGGAGGCTGCAACCCAGCTGTGCACGGCCGTGTACAGGCCCTGGCCCACCCCCTCCCAGCTCTGAGGTGCCTGGTGTCACAGGGGTGTGTGTCTCTCTGTCCTACCTTTTCTTCCACTGCTGCTATCCCCTCTGGTATCTACCCATTAAGTCTCAGTTGCCCTATTTGCTCATCCTGCAGTCCCCAGTCCCCAGGGTCCAGGCACCAGCACTCCAGAGATGGAGCAAGCCCTCCTCTGGGACCATGAGGCAGGTGGTACTGGGGCCCAAACTGAGTCCTAGGGGATGTCACAGGAGGTGTGAGAGGGCCAGCCTCTACCCTGGCCATGCCTCACCTCACCCCCCAGCCCATGTCCTCTCTAAGCCACCAGAACGCACACACCAGGCTGTTTCTAACTCCTGGACCTTTGCCAAGAACTCCATCGGATCTGCCTGGCCAGGCTCTCTTGGGCATCTCCTCCGAGCCCTTAGTCCCCCTCATGTGAACCCCACGGTGAGCCTGGGGCCCATAGGCAGGACTTCTGCCTGCTGCCTGCCACACCCAACAGAACTCAGGGCTGGGCACAGACACACATCCCCACCCACCAGAGGTTAGGGCAAGAGCCCAGCACCAAGGAGGAAGCCTAGTGATGGGCTCATGGAGACTTCTGCTTCTGGTGGAGGAGCATGAGGAAGGAAGGGCCAGGGAGCAGTTAGAGGCCAATGGAGCCACTGCTCTTCTGGGTACACTGAGTCCTCAAGGTGGAGAGAGGGCCTTGCCTCCTCCAACTTTGTGGGATGGTGTCACAGGAGACCGGATGTGTGCACTGCAGGGCCAGGGCAGGAAACTCCTCTTGCCCCTGTTCTGGCCCCAGCCCGAGGCCACACCATAAGCCCCTGAAGACCACTCCCCAGTCCCAGCTCACCACCTGGAGGGTCTGTAAACCCAAGGTATGTGGTCAGATGGTGCTCAGGCAAGCAGTGCCCCACGTGGGGCGCCTGCTGATTGTGAAAACCGGCTTTGATACAGACCCTGGGGTGGACTGAGCCTGATCCTCCACTGCAGGGAGCTGGAGGTTCTTCTCCCTGTTCCGTGGCTGGGCAACAGGGTAAGGAAGCCACTGCACAGCCACTCTGCCGACAATGTGAGCATGGCAGTGCCACCCATCAGCCTCCAGAGCTTGGGGTCCCTGCTCATCCACGCCGGTGCCTCCCTGAAATCCACGTTTGCAGCATCGGGAGCAAAGCACCTTCACTGGATGGAGGAATGATGGGGCGCCCCCGAGGGGCCAAGGTTCTTCTCGTGAGGCTCCTGTGGTGGGCTGGAGCGAGACGTGGGGACAGAGCTGGAAAAGGAGGACAGAGCCGCCCAGCGTGCTGCCTCTCTCCCGGCTCCAGCGAAGGTTGCTTCCCTCCCGCCCCTGCTGCCGCCCGGTGGAGACGGCTCCGGAGGCTGAAGGCTCGTCCTGGGGTGGAGCTGCTGACTGTGGCAGAAAGGCCAGGTGCAGGGTGCTCCTGATGCAGGACTTTTCTTTGAGAGTCTGAGGCCAAGTCTAAGCAAAGGATCGCTCGAGGTAGTTCCCGCCTGATCAATTCTGAAACGAATTAATGGGATCAAGTAAAGCTGGGCTGTTCTCAGTCTGAGCCCTGGGAGGCACAGCCTGGTTCTGCCCGGATCCAAACTCCGGTTCCTGGAGGAGGGTGTCTCCAGTGCGCCATGCACTCGTGTCCTGTGGGCACCTGCACGGATCCATCAGTGTGTGCATTTGCCCCAGATGGCGGGGGACCGCGCTGGGGGAGGCGGTGGTGTGCCCCTTGTCTTTGGGAGCACTGGAGTGCAAGGATCTATGCGCTTTGCCTCTGCCAGAGATGCACAAGGGTGCACAGGTCCTTCCAGGGTTGTGAGTGGAGAAGTTCTGAGTGAATTATGAGCAGCGGTAGCATGGTCGCAGTGCTATAGATGTGCCTTTACAATGGACAGACGATGAGAAGTGGGGTCCTGCCAAAAGAGGGTGAGGGTGCCTGTGGTGACAGCTCCCCGCGGGGAGCCACATGCACTCCCGGGAGGAGCCAGGCAGGCAGCCGGCTAGACAATACTCTCCAGGGGCCACCTCCAGCACACTGGGGAGAAAACCTCCAAAACAGGACTTGCTTCAGGCAAAACTCCAAAGATGCTGGGTGGGGAGGGGGGTGGTAGCTGAGCATCCTAGGGTAGTGCTGGGGGGCACAGCCAAGCACCCATGTGGGACCCCATGTCTGGCCCAGGGGGAAGCAAAGTCTACAGCTGTGCTGGTGCAGAGGGGTGCCTCGGTCTTGCCCTCCTCCAGCCCATCCAACATCCTGCCCTCCGCGGGACTTCAGGTGTCCACCCCATACCCAACTGCAGCCTGTCAACACCCAGCCTCGGTTATAGGGCCTGTCAGATGGTCTCATAGTCACCCTGACTTCGCAGCCAGCCACAAAATGCAGCCCTTGTCTTCTCTGTGTCCCAGGCAGAGGGGGCAGCCTGCGGCCTGAGAAGGCGGACCCGGGCGGCTCTCGACCCCAGCCGTTCTGCCCTCCTGGCCGGCCAGGACTCCTACCTCGCGGTAATGGAGGCGCGGCCGGCAGGGGGAGCGAGGCGGAAGGGAGCCGCGGCCGGGCCAGGTGAGGGAGGAAGGCTTCCCGCGGGCGGCGGCGCGGCGTGCGCGATGGGCTGTGCGGGACGCCGGCCGGCGGGCGGGCGCGCTCCCTCCGGGCTGCGGGCGAGTCCGGGGCTGGGGCGACGGCGGCGGCCAGGGCGAGGGCGAGGGCGCGGGCGGGTTGCGGGGCGGCGGAGTGAAGAGCGAGAGGGCGGTGCGGTGCCCCAGGAAGAACGGAGGGAGGTTCCGAGAAGCGCAGCCCGGGTGGGCGGTGGACGCAGAGACTCTGCCCTGGGTTGGAGGCTCCGGCGGCCTCGCGCTTCGAGCGCTTCGGGCCCCTTCAGTCGAGGGCTCCAGGAGGGCCCTGGCGTTGAACAGCGGGGTCCTCGGCTCTGCAGTTTCTCGGGTGAGTATCGCCAACGGGTGGCGAGGGGTCGACCCCGCGAAGACAGAGCAGGCCTAAGTGAGGCTCCCTCACCTCTTCCCAGAGCCCTTTTCCCCAACCAGGGTTTGCCCACCCCAGAGTCCCCAACTCTGGCACTTTTGCCCACCCAGCCAGACCCAGCAGCTCTCAGTTCCAGCAGGAAGGGGTTAATAAGGGGCTGGGAGGATCAGGCACTGGCAGACACGGAGGGCCAAGGGCCTCGGGACAGTGCCCGGGAGGCCCATCCAGGAAGCCCCAGATTTTTTCGCTTTCACTTCTCCCTTCTTAATATTGGTGTCACCCTCGGACTCCACATCTGGCTGCTGCCCTCAAGTGTGTGCCCAGATATGCGCGGAAGCCTCCCCAGGTGCACAGGACACAACCACCGGCATCACCACATGCTGGGGCAGCATGCATCCCAGATAGTGCACAACAGCAGGCAGGAACCCCACCCAGACTCCCCACATGGGCCCCACATGCAGCCTGTAGGGCCCAGGGCCTCTCTGGATGCCGACTGCCAGCATGAGGTACCCCTGGTGACACTGTCCTGCATGCCTTTCTGGGTATGGACTGCCAGCAGTGGGCACGCCTCCTGCAACACTGCCATGACCAGCCCTTACCAATGTCCCTTCCTAGCTGGGCTCTCCTATCAGAAGCAGCTTCTCCTGGGGTCCTGGAGGCAGGGGGCTGCCCTGCTCAGGGGAGAGGGAGAGGGACCTTAAACCCAGCTGGTTCCACATTTCACTCCTCCCTGGAACCTGCCCCTGGGTCCCACAGGTTGGTGTCACTGTCAGAGCCCCAAACAGCTGGTCATGCAGGGCTGAGGGCATGCTCTGGCAATAACTTCCCTTTCTCTCCACACTCCACAACTACAGCCTCAGCTGGAGGCGCAAGTAGGGGGGCTCACTGTACATGAAATCACACATACCACACCCCAGTCATATACCCGCATGCTCACCTGCTGCACACACTGCCTCCCAATCTTTCCTGGACCTCAGGCCCAGGAGCCAGTCCCTTCCTACTGGAGCTTACTCCCGGTCCTCAGTTCCTGAGCCTTCCCCACTTTCCAGACAGCACCCTCTCCAGCCTGGGGTCTGAGTCCCTGGGATTGTAAAAACCCTGGGAGAGGCTGCCTGCCTCCTACCCTTATCCCAGGCAAGCGCAGGCGAAGGCCCACAACATGGTTGCAGGCGGAGAAGCCTTGGAAACAGAGGCCCTGAGAGCCAGAGCCTCGGCAAAGGGCCAGAGAGGCTCCTGGGAAGCTGGGAGATATGATGCTCTGCTAGGAAGACCCTGGGCAGAAAAGGCATGGATGCCCTGAACTGGTCAGAGAAGACCTCAGTGGCAGTTGGTGGGGGAGGTACAAACCAAGTTAGGCCTTAGTGTCCCCGGATCCCTGAGCCTAGAGACCTTGAGGCCTCAGGGTGGGTCTTGCCTCACTCTGCTCGGCCTGGATGGGCACTAAGGCAGGAGGGCCTAACCAGGTGGGCAGGCTGAATGCAGGGTGGGTGGCAGGGGCAGCATACAATACGACCCGGCGGCCTGAACTCCTCCGACGTGTCCTCGGCTCCCTGGGCCAGTCCAGGCCCCGCCCCCGGCCCTCCCTGCGCCCGGTCGGTGCGCGGGGAGGTCGGAGGAGCGGGCACTGCCCACCCTCCGGATGTATAAGCGTCCTGGCCAGAGGCGGGCGGTGCGCGCGGGTGCGCGTGACGCTCGGGCTCCCGGGCTGCGCGGCCTGGGCGGCGTGCCTCTGCTTGGGGTCCCCAGGCACGACAGTGAGCCGACTGAAGGGGGTTGGGGGGCATTTGCTGGGCTGGGTCCTGTTCCGCCGCGCGGAGGAACAGACGACGCCACAGCTCTGGTGTTGTCCGCCTGTGGCCAGTGCCGGAGTCCGAACTGCCCTCTCCTCACCCAGGTGCAGGGGCAGCCAGGGAGGAGGAGGCGGGAGGGGCCGAGGGCAGGGGCAAGGCCAAGCCAGGCGGCCCCACGGTGATCCATCGGTGCCTCACGGACACAGGTTGAGGCTGGGCGCTCCCGGCGTAGCTGCCTCCGTTCAGGGGCTGCAGAAGCCGATGGTGGCTTCAGTGGCTTCGCTGAACAGAGGGAACCTCCGCCTCGGTGGGAACAGCGGGATGTTCGAAGGGCGCTGGTCACAGAGGTCCTTGGGAGCAGAGGCCAGGGGCAGGGAGCTTGAAAAGCAGAAGGGCCCCACACTCCCAGGGCGCTCCACCCATCTGGGCCCCTCCGCTGCCACCGGCCCGGAGTGGGGGGCCGTGACGCCATAATCCCTTGGGCCCAGGGCTGGAGGCTGAGTGGCACCGCAGGCCCCCGCCCCCGGGTCCCGTGGGCTGGGCCGGCCTCGGTGCGGCTGGGTGCACGCAGTCGGAGGCGGCGCCGGCCAGGCCGCCGGGCGCCTATGGACGCGCGGAGCCCGCTGTCTCCCCGGGCCAGCGCGTTCAGCATCGCCTCTCTGGTTGCAGCAGAGGCCGTAGAGCGCACAGCTCGCCTGGGTGCCCGGTTCTCCGACCAGGCGAAGCTTCGCCGGCTGCTGGGATCCCCCGCCGGGATGCACTTCAGCACGGTCACCAGGGATATGGAAGGTGAGCTTCCCCGCTGTGTCTGCCGGCAAGACCCCCTGCCACAGCTGCTGTGGGGCCCTAGCAAAGAGTTTTGGCAGGGCCCTGGCACAGAGTGGGTAGAGGGAGCTCTGGCGGGGTGGGCTCCAGGCTTCCAGTGACTCTGGAGCAGAGAGGAAGGGCAGGCATCCTGCCCAAAGCCTGTGCACCTCCAGCCTGGGAACCCGGCTGCAGAGACCCACAAGGAGCTAGACACGGGCCCAGAACAGGACGAGTGGAAGCCAGGAAGGACAGGAGAGAGAAGGACCAGAGAAAGGGGGCAAAGGTGGCCGCAAGCTGGGAGAGGTGGGAGGGAAGTTGGCAGGAGAGGAGAGTGCCATGGAGTCTGGGAACCCAGGAAAACGAGAGACAGAAAGTGGTGAGGGCAGCCGGGAGGAAAAGAAATTGAGAAGAGAGAAAACACAAAAACCCGAAAGGAAGGTAGGAAAAGTGAGAAAGACGAAAAAGAAATAAAAGAGACCGAGAACGAAAAAGAATAAAGTAAAGGGAAATTTAAGACGAAAAATAAAGGCATCAAAAAAGGGAAAAGCTATAGAAAACCTCCAGTTTTTATTTTGTTTTAAAAAAAGAGGAAAAAACCCTGAATAACAGGAAAAGACCTAGAAAAAGAAGAGGCAAAGGCAGACTGGGAAGAAAAACGAAGTGATGAAAAATGAAGTGGAAAGAAAGGAGAGGGACAAAACTGGAAAAAGAAAGGCAGAAAATAACACAGAAGTAAAGAGAAACGAAAGAGATAGTGGAAGAAGGAAAGAGGATTAGGAGGGAAAACTTCAAGGAGGAAGACAAAGGTAAAGAAATAACAAATTGGAAAAAGAGCCTGGAGAGAGAAAGGAGAAATGCAACGCGGGAGGGCGGCAGAGCGAGGGGCGGCGGGCGGCCCGGCGCTCTAGGGAGCCGGTCCGGGCGGTCGGGGGGCCCGGGCCGAGCGAGCCGCGGCGGGCGGGC